TAGGGATAGCGGTATTTGCGGCAAGATAGTCCTTGTTGACTTGTTGTGGCCTGTACTGACACTGATCAAGGTCTTGAACATTGCCTTGACCATACATCGCCTGTACTTCCACCCTCTGAAGTCGCATCCAGGGCCTTTTTTTGCACGCATCAGTGACTTTTACAACACATTCCACATCTTTGTCAAGGATGAAGCACAGAATTTCCACAAGCTGCATGAGCGCTATGGACCCGTTGTTCGCTACGGGCCTAACAGACTCAGCATCGCCACACCCGGCGCCGTGAGGATGCTTTACACCAACAGTCGCTACACACGCAAAGCAGACAGCTATCTTGCTTTTCCACGAGATCCAACAAATGCTAGTCTCTTCTCGAGCATCAACAAAGAAGTGCATGCTCGCAAGCGTCGTGTTTTGCGCTACGGCTTTTCGGACAGTGCCTTGAAAGAGGCGGAAGTGACTATCAAAAAATATGTTGCCATTCTCTTGAGCTGTCTGGAACACCTTCCGGACGACCATCAACATGGCTGGACCGTCGACGAGAAGAAGTCGACCGGGCAGTGGAGCACTCCAAAGAACTGGGCGGAATGGATCAACAGGTATTCGTTTGATCTATCGACCGATCTTTCCTTGAGCGAGTCTTTCGATATGATGCGGCTTGGCGAAAGAAGACATTTTGCGGATCTGATCCACGAGAACATGTGGGCCGAGAATGTGGTAAGGATGTCCAACACAGCCTGCAGCCGTTGCTTCAGAAAAGCTCACTCCGTACAGACTGGCTCCGCACTTACGCTTCTGCACCGCTTAGGACTGCGTAATGTGTTACTGTCACGATGGGTGCGAACCAGCAAGCCGTTCGACGACTTTGTCGAACGTGCAGCTGCCGCACGCATCGAACAGGCGACTACAGGAGTCGAACTGGGCAAGAAGGATTTCATGTCCTGGCTCACGAACAACTCTAATCTAGACGAGGACGTTTCAATGGACGAGATCAAAGAAGAAGCCATATTGCTAATCACTGCCGGTAAGCGATGGCTCCTCTTTACGCGCGCGCAGGACCAACCAGAACTGACTTGAATCTCTTTGCAGGCGGCGACACTACCTCCACGACCATCTCAGCCGCCATGTACTACCTTCTCCACGAGCCCGAGAAGCTGCAAAGACTGCAAGCCGAGATCCGCCGGACCTTCTCCCGCGTAGAGGACATAGGCCTGGGCAGTGCGCTGAATTCGTGCTCGTACTTGAGGGCGTGCATCGAAGAGGCTCTACGCATAGCCCCGCCTGCTGGCTCGGTACTCCGGCGCGAGGTCGAGCTGGGCGGTGTGCGCGTCGACGACCTGTACATTCCAGAAGGCACAAATGTCGGAGTCCCCGTATCGGCCATGCATCACGACGCGATCTACTTCCCGTCGCCATCAAAGTTCCAACCCGAGCGGTGGATCCCCGGCTCTGTGCTCGCAGACGGCACAGAGGTCACGCCTGAGTTCGTCAAGCGTGCCTATGGCGCGTTCCTGCCCTTCAGCGCGGGGACGAGAGGCTGCATCGGTAAGCCGCTGGCCTACCATGGCATCTCGGTTCTCTACGCGACCATGTTGTTTCAGTACGACATGCGTCTGTGCCGTGAGAGGTGGGTGAATGGGCACCGCAGCGGTGTTGGGCCAGATCCTACCATCGAGTATGAGCTCGAGGACATCTTCACTTCATGGAAGAACGGTCCATTGGTTGAGTTCAAGGCCCGACAAGTGGAGGAAGCAACGCTTGTGTCCGAAAAGGCTTGAAGAGTGACTTGACCGTTCCCATGCCAGGTCTGCCGCTGAGCTTATCTTGCTTCTATTTGGATATTGGTCTATTAGGGAAGGCAATGATTGGTTTCATCTTGACTAGTGGGCGCAGCAGCCACCGGCTTTGCAAGCGTCTGCAAATGTTTGACAAGTAGCACAAGAATTATGGGAAACATCTAGACTAGACATAAAATGTATACAAGTGCATAAACTGCGTTGCTCGGGACCGAGCTACCAGCGAATGGCTTTTGCCTTAGTAGGGAAGCGTAATAGATTCAAGATGCATCACTTGCATTACCAGGAAATACATGCTCCCATCGTAAGAGCAGTGCAGGGCTCTTGAGGCACACCTCAAAACGCGAGATGAGTCCCCTCTACAACAGTCCGCCACAGGCCGCCCAGAGAGACATACAGCAGCCAACAAAAGCTTACAGAAGAAAAGAAGTGCTTACCACCACCTCTTGCGTAATCAACTCACGTGGCGCTACTGCACATAATCCGTGCGCCATGCTGACGTGACTTGACATAAGCAGACCACATGCATGCACACAATCCTGTACCTGTGAGACATGGGACCGTCACGTAATCGGCCCTTCAGGCTGATGACGGAAGCAGGATTTCCAGGTACTAAGACTGATGATAAGAGATGATGATAACTGTGGAGATGGTACTCACAGAACTGCCGATACATACAACTAGATACATAGACGGTGTGATTATCGCCCGCTGGAAGCATGGGTGCAATCTCCCCACATCATGCTGGAGCATAGCAGTTGATTAGAGATCACATTGGTAGATTGGATTGGTGTGGAAGTGAGCATGAGATGGAGAGCGCTCATTGGCGAGATGCTTGCGTGGCTACCTTGATTAAGCTAGTCTGGCTCCGTATGCGGCTACTGTCCGTACAGCCTCCATCCAGGTACATTCTCCTCAGCCTGCGAGAGCTTGGCCGTCTTACGGGAACCGAACTATTTGCTGGATCTATTTTGGAGAAATCACTGACCTCGAAGTGTGGTTTGGGGGAAACTGTGTCGGCTTTTGTATTCAAGTGTCGTTATCATGGAATTTAGTCAGCGGTTGATAGTCAACAGTAGAAAATGAAAATTGATACCGTGTCTACTTGCTTATAAATGGCACTTAGGTTTAACAAATGACGTTATAGGGGTTTGTCTGCCTCACCGTATCATTATATAGTCAACGGTTTCCGCTCGTTCGCAGTTCAAATACCCGACTCTATACTTCCACGACCTCTGCTCGTCATTAAGCGCTCACGAATGCTAGCAACGTAAACATGGGTTTAAAGTCAAGCAACACAAGGATTCCGCCACCAAACCCCAATTATCGTAGGTAGTGTGTTGCCCCAGCAAGCAGCGAGAGGCCAAGCTGATTTTTTCATCTACATAGAATGGGGCATGTATAGCAGCAAGAAGAACAATGGTAAGCCAAATTGACACATTGCCTTCCTCCTGGTCACTTTTAATCGCCAAAATCGACGGAGAAACAAGGGCTGATTGGGACATTCTTGAGCTACAAAACAGTCAACGGGCATTGTGCATGCAAATGGACAGTAGAGACAGGCTGGTCCGAGCCCGAGTTCGTCCAAAGTCCCTACCTGCAGGTGCACGGTCTGGCACCGGGGCTGCACTATGGTGAGCACAGCGTTTCCCGATCCAAGGGGAACCCCAAATCTTCATCTCCCGAGAGATACCAACCGCGTCCGCAGGTCAGCAAGTCTACGAGGGGCTACAAGGTGAGTTTGTGGTGGAAACTCGGCCCCGGAAGGCGTGAGGGGGGTTTTCCATGTCGACGCTGACGGTGATTGCTGTGTGAAAACAGCCCGTCGAACGCAGGACAACAACATACTCATTTTCCGTGCCGAGGCGAACGCGAAGCGCATGCAGCGGTCGGCGGAAGCCGTCTCCATGCCCGGCGTGCCAGAAGAGCTTTTCCTCAAGGCCGTCCACCTGGCCGTAGCACGGAACGCCGAGTTCGTCCCACCGGCCGATTTCGCAGGAAGCCTGTACATTCGGCCCTTTCAGTTCGGGTCAGGGTGCCAGATTGGGCTGGAGCCGCCGGACGAGTTCATCTTCTGTGTCTTCGTGCAGCCGCACATTGCCTTCCACGGTCACGGGACGCTGCGGGCGCTGGTATCCGAAGACTTTGACCGGGCGGCCACGCGCGGCACAGGAGCCGTCAAGGTCGGCGGCAACTACGCGCCTGTCATGAGGTGGTCGAGGGAAGCGCGGAAGGCGGAGAACGGCGGCTGGGGCGTGCTGCTGCATGTCGACAGCAAGACGCAGACGTTTATTGATGAGTTTAGCACCTCGGGCTTCATTGCCATCTCGCGCGCGGTAGATGAGAGCACCCAGCGCGAACGCACGACGGTGGTGGTGGCGGATAGCCCGGCTGCCATTGAGAGCATCACGGCCGTGACGGTTTCGGAACTGGCATTGTCATTTGGGTGGGAAGTTGTCAAGCGGCAGGTGAGCATACGGCCTTGAATAGCCAACACAGATTCTGTCTTGGAGACTGATACGGCAGTACAGGTGAGACTGGACGAGCTCGCGAGCTTCAGCGAGGTATTTGCGGTGGGTACGGCTGCCGGACTGGTGTCGGTTTCAATGATCCGGCACCAGTCCACAGATCGCGACTTTAGCTTCGTTGAAAATGGGTCCTGCTACCAGAAGCTATCGAGCACGCTAAAAGACATTCAGCATGGCAGGGTGGCGGATACCTTTGGGTGGTGCGCGCCTCTTCGGTTTGAGGAATTTGTATCTACATAGGACGGTTGAGGCTGAGCAGTAGAGCGTGCCATAGTAGAGATGCAGGCTGTGCAGCTACTTCGATCTTTTTATTATGGCCAGTGCTTACGTATGTGTTGATTTTGTTGTTCTCACAGTTGTGGGCCAAAGCAAGAAAGCATGTAGTCCATTCCATTTCATGACCATAGTCCATTCCATTTCATGACCAGTCACAGTCACAATGGGAAATTAATTTTCAATAAAAGAAATGTCATATCAAATACTAGGTCCCTCGCACAATGTCTCGCAGCCGGAGTATCCCTTACCATCGATACTACATCAATTATTTACCGCATAAACTGATAAAATTTTACCAACTTTGCTGTCAAGGCCAACAACGTCACTAAAACTGCAGCTAAACATGCGAGAGCTTACAAACACGATGGCATGATTAAGTAGCATTTAAACAGTACTAAATTTGGTCTACATACATGTGTAGCTGTGTAACAATAGATTGACGTTGCTCGGCAGTTCAGATTCTGCCACCAGATTGGCGTAAAGTACCTGCCCGATCGGGCCTAGCTTGGCAAAATTTCATCAGCCTAGCGGAAGGTGTCAACGGGGTGGGGCACAGCGGCATTGCATGCCACGTAATCCCCGCATGCAGCGCCTACTCCATACACTGTGAAATATATCTCAAACCGGCCTGCACGCTCGCAGCGACGGCTTCGCTGCCAATCAATCCATCAACTCCTGAAACGCCGTCTTTACTGTCAGCCTCGATAAGGAGACCTGCTTCTTGGAAGACGTGCTCGGGCGCCACGGTAGCCCTTCCCGCCTTGAAGACATACTTTGACACCAACGTCGCAAAAAGGATCTTGCGCGCCTGGCCGTCCTTGACCAGGGCCTCAGGTCCACCCAGCAGGTCTAACTCCCTGTCAAACTTCGTGCCGGGCTTGGTGAAGTAGGTGACTACGTACATGGCCTTGTCGCTCCAAGCCAGGATGCGAGACGACACGGCATAACTTTGGTAGGGGCGGATCTCCCTTTGAAACTTGCATTGCACCCCGGCCAAAATGAAGGCAGGCGATCCGAGATTCGCCAACGCTTGACTCAAAAGACTTGTTATGAGCTCAGCGCGATTGACGTCGGCGTCTGTGAAAAACGTGCTGTTCGACTTGTGAATGTTCATGTCCAGATCGAGCGCGATGGCCCGAGATTGTAAGGTGTAATGCTTGAACAGAGCGGGCCGTGCGGCACGGGAGGTTGCCGTTGTCGGAATTGGCGGACGCGCCGATGCGCGTTTACTGCGTTTCGACCCAAACTTTGCCCTCAACAATCTATATAGCGAAGGGGCCAGTCGCACCGTGTGGGCTAGCGGCAAGGATTTGGCATTGGCTGCTAAGAAACAGACGAGCAGAGTTCCAGTGAACAGATAGTGAGGTGGCATCTGTCGGATGGTGTCGAAGACTTGGTCAGCCATTATTCAGGTGGGTATTTGAAGTTATGTTCATCTAGGCAGTGCTCCGGTGGTGGTCTAATCTCGGTGAGAAAGGGTCGTTGAGTAGATCGTTCAAGGGACGTTGCTGTAAGTTATGAACGCAAGCAAAGAATCGCCTCGTTCTTCAACAAGTAGTCCTGAGAGGCAAGTGTTATTTAGGCATTTTTGAACTCTACCAACTCCTTCTCCATCGGACTTGACACTTGTTCAAGCGGTGGTTGGCCGAGTGAAGTCATCGTCAGCATGTTTACGTAAGCATACATGTGGCGTCTGCTCGATGCCAGTGTCGTTAAGGCGAAAGTAAGTATCGACGCATGCCATTTGATGGCAACGAGCAACAAGTTGCACAAACATCGTTATCTGTGTCTTCTTTCAGGGGCTAGTCCGGAGCTAGTCCGCCTTGGCTAGTGCTGAGACCACGCGTTCCAGCTTAGATATTACGGATACTTGGAGTAATATTTCCTGCATACCTCGTACTTCGCTCTTCGTCCTTTGTGCTTGGTAATTCGCATTCCAGTACCTAGTCAGAGTCTAGATAGGCTATCCCTATCCCCATCGTCTAGTAGACTGGGAAGTATACGCAACAGACTCGAATCTACTATAAAATGCTAATAATGTTGTGTTCAAGTAGGATCTACAATACGAATTAGAGATTGCTAGATCGCGTTGTACACATGCCTGGCTAGTGCTGACAGACAGGTAGAGCTTACGACGCTCAAATTAATAGGATCGCCGCTCTTAAACACTGCAGCTTAAATAATTTATCCGTTACTCTTCTTACTAATTAGCTCTTCTACTTACCTAAGCTACGCTTATATTTATATATACACTTATACTCAACCTTCCTTTCTAGAGTATAATATATGATTTATTAAAATAGTTAAAGTACCTTAACTTTAGGTAGTAATATTTTTAACTATATATAAAATTAAATCTTGTATTATATCTTCTAAATATAATAGAGTTATATATAGTTAGAAGTTATTTCTACTCTATAAGATCTCTAGTTTCTAAGACTTAATAATAGTCTTTATAAAATAATACTAAAATAATAATTTACTTCTCTTTAGATAGTTAGTAAAGCCTATATATAAGGTTTTATAATTTAACTAACTTTACTATAACTTTGTAGATCTTTATACCTTCTTTAAAGCTACGTAATCTATATTTTAAATTTCTACTTTAGTAGAGAGTTTTAATAACCTAGCTATAGTTTATAATAGAAACTAGAGTATACAACTAGGATAAACTTTAAGTAATAGCTTTTTAGGTACTTTAATATATACCTATACTAATCACTTAACTAGCGTCTAACTATATTTTATTTATTAAAATTTAAAATATACAAAAACTATAATTATTAAAGAATAACTATTATCTAGTTAAATTAGCCTTTTTCTGCTTTTCTAGTATAAGGCTAATTCTTAAAGGAGCTAAACATGGTCTGTGTTTTAACTAAACACCTGAGATGGATAAACTCTTGTCCTTCAGGCGCCCTATAGTGGACTATGAGGCTCCTAAGGTGTTATGCTCCTAGACCAGATCCTGGCTTAATGGTAGGGTAATTTTGCGGCGTAATGTTCTCTTTATCTGGTGCGGCACTTTTCTGCTTTATATACTAAGTACAGTCGTGCCCTCTTCGCATCCAGGCTCAGCCACCAAATTCGCCCACTTCTGGTCCTGCCGCCCGGCAATACGGCTTCTTCCTGCCACACCTCGCCTACCATGGCCGATGTTGACGAGCGCCGCAAGGCCCAGAATAGGGCCGCCCAGAAGAAATACCGTGAGTTGGTCGACGCCTGCCTGGAGACTGAGCCCTTGGCGCCGCAGCTCAAGCCAGGTCCCAAGAAGTAGCGGATCACGTGCCCATGCTGCTAACTGTCCTGCCCCAGGAACACGACAGAAACTGCGTATCGAACTCGCCAGAGCTATCCTGTGCGATAAACCGCCCCAGCAGACCGGCACGGCGACGGAAAGGCGCGATTGGATCCCCTCAGTTGGCGATTTCGACGACGGCTATCAGGCTGTCGTTAGCCGGCACAACAACACCTCCACCACTTCTCCCAACACACCAAGATCCTCGTCCCCCGTTGATACGCTTCAGTCCCTAGGCGTCAGGCATCTGCTACACACCGATAATAGTCGATCCACGAGGCTGCTGCGCGACGGCGACGCCCTGGCCGCCGCCCTCGAGCAGTACGGCATACCCTTTGATCTCGATGGCGGCAGCACCCACAACATGGGCTCCGCCGACTCGGCAACCACAATGGGCGACGTCCACTGCCTAGACCAGTCGCTCGCCCGCCTCGACTGGATGCACAGCAACGGCGAAACACCTTCCAACGGAGCGCTGCCATCATCCGGCACCTCCCCGCTCTCGTCCAGTGATATCGACAAGTATATGATGAGCCCTCCATCGCATCATCTGTCATCCTTGTCATCCTCGTCTTCTTCGTCTTCTTCGTCTTCTTTGTCAGCTTCTTCGTCGTCGTCATCATCATCATCATCAACAGCACTTACGCTCGGCAGCCTGCCCACGCCCGTCTCAGACTGGCCGACGTCGGTAGTCGCCGACACCCCCTTCAGCAACTCTTCAACCCTCTCGCTACTCAAGAGCTGCTGCCACCGCCCTCACCCGGAAGGCACAGACGACAACGCTAGCTGCCCCAACAACAGCAGCAGCAGCTCCACAGCACTCCTCGACGAAACCTCGAGCCCGCTCTACACGGCTATCTCACTCGGCAACATGGACATGGCCCGTCTCCTCGTCCGCTCCGGCGCAAAGCTCGACCTGCCCGACCGCAATGGCGACACCTTATTGCACCACTGCGTCCGGCGCGGTGACATCGCGACCAGCAGTGCACTGCTTGACCTCGGCGCAAATGTCATGCACACTACTGCCGGTGGCAGGACGCCACTGCATCTGGCCGTCAGCACGGGCAACGAGGCCATGGCTGCCATGCTGCTTGATTGGTGCGCGAATGAAAAAGACCCGCCTTTGGAGGCGGTCGCTGCTGCTATTATTCCTACCCCTCTCAGTTCTGCCGCTATTACCATTCCTATCACCGCCGCCACAACAACAACAACAACAACAACAACAACAACAACAACCAGGCAGAATACTGACGTTTCGACGTCGTCAGGTCGAAAAATCAGTCTGCTAGGTCAATTCATAGACGCCTGCGACGCCCACAACATGACGGCCCTCCATCTCTCCGTCAAGCTGCAGCGCATCAACGTCCTCAAGGTCTTACTCGAGTACGGCGCTAATGTCAATCTGGGTTGCCATTAGCAAGTCGGGTCTCGTCCTTTGCATTGATGTTTTTTTCCTCCATTTTCTCTGGCTACTTCACCGCCACATTCATGGCAAGGTACATAAGTGTGTTGAAAATGGTGAAAGGTTTTTTGTTTTATATATATACATATAGAATGCGAGGAGTTTGCTTGCTATGAAACGCAACATACGAATTGCTAGATAAAAAATGAGCTTCAAAGCTTCCGTCGTTATCTGTCCCTTGAACTTCATTGCTCCAATCACGTGCCCTGTCTTCCTTTGGCTTTCTCCCCAAGCCTGACAAAAAGCCCAAATTTTGACAAAATATTTCTTATAATCACATCAAACTCTAAAGAAACAAACTGCCGTCGCAGAAACCAGTGTTCACGGCGGCTACTGCGATGATGAGCCGTCCGGCTGCATGGCGGCAGCCATGGCTCCGAGCGTGGGATGGTCGAACATGGTCGGCACGCGGAGCAACCAATTATGACGCTTCAGCTCGGCGCCGAGCCGCAGCGCCAGCAGCGAGTTGCCGCTCCAATCGTCGAAGAATTGGTCGTGCTTGCTCAGCTTCGTTGCTGGGTCGAGGTCCAGCGTCTTGATCCAGAGAGAGGCCAGCAGGCGTTCGCTCGACGAGAGTGAAGCGTCGTCGTCTTGTGTCTCGGGATAGATGGCTAGCGAGTCGGCGGGTGCGTTTCGCACGAGCTCTTGAAGGCGGCTTCGATCGAGCTGGCCGGCTGTTGTCAGTGGGAATGCGAGGAGCGTTGTGAAAAAGGATGGGATGCTCGTGGGCGGCAACGATGTGTCGAGTTTGGGCTGGAGAGTCGTGGATAGTTGGCCAGCTAGATTGGCTGCTGCTCCCTGCTCGCTTGTCCATGGTGCTGGGCTACTCGCCGTCACAACGGCCCCAAGTCGGAGGTCATCTCCCAGTGCTTGGGGAGCGTACAGATCCACCACTACGTCCGAGAAGCTAGGTAGATGCCGTCGAATTGCCTCTTCAATGTCTCTGATCTTGATTCTATGACCATTGACTGTCAGCTTGCGTTCAGCTGCTGACTCGATTAGACTCAGCGTTCTGTCTACATTGGCTCTGAACCGCTGTGGCCCCTCGGTCTTGATTTGCCCAGCACGAGCGCTTGAGAGATTGGAATGACCAAGCTTGAGGATGCCGATTGCTCCTGGCGGCACACGCTCGGAAAAGTTGTGTGGGTTCACGACGGAAGCGCAAGTCCAAGTTGCAGTGCCGACAAATTCTCCATGTTGGCTTTGCGAAGGGGATCCCAAAAATGCAATGGTGCCCATCTCCGCCACGCCCCATGCCAGGAACAGTCTGGCACATTGGCTCCATTGAGCCACATCGTGACGTGTCGGAATGTCGCCGTACAAACATACCTGTCGCAAGGCCGGCATATCTTTAGGCTTGAGTATCCTAGATACAGCCACAGGAATTGTGACGGCGTTGACGTTGAAGGATTTGATGCTTTCACCAATATCAGAGATGCTGCTACCTAGCGACGGACAGCAGATTGTGCCCCCGTGTGCAAGCGGAGCGAGGATATCGACTAGCATGGTAGTAGACCATGATTCATTGTACAGCAGTGACCGAGTTTTTGTGTTCATGGTCATCTGTTTCCCCACCTGGAGTAATGCAGCGCGTAGTTCTCCATGAGTGACGAAACTTGGAGCTGACCCGGGGTCTGCAGAGAGAGGTAGCAATGAAAAAGCATAGTCTGATGCTATCGAAGGTACGGGAGAGCGATAAGCCGGCTTGAGGAAAGCCGTAGTGGGTACCGGCAAAGTATCTGCGGCGACAACAATGCATCGGCAGCCAGAGACGTCGGAGAAAGATGAGGCATAGGCTGGCGAAACCAGAACTGTGGATGTTTTGGCGTGATGTAGCAGGCCAGGTAATGAGCTGCTGTTAGTGCTGGGATCGAAGGGCACAAGGTAACCCCCGGCTTTCAAGACACCAAGAATGGCGACAATGGCCCATGAAGACTTGTCGAGAACTAGGCCGATGGCTTGATTCGATCGCACACCTTGCCGGACCAGTCGCTCCGCCAATGAGTTAGAGTAATCTTCGAGCTGCATATATGTCATGCAGTCATGCAAGGACTCAACGGCATGATGAAATGGGTTGCGATCGACGTGTTGTCGTACGAGATGCTGTATGTACGATCCGCTCGATGCAACGTTCGCGTCAGATCCACCGTTGAACCCGACCTGTTGAGGCTGCAGGGTCTCCATATGAGATTGTGAAAGTGCACTCAGGTCTCCCACTGGTGTGGATGATGGCTTGTGGAACATCTGCTCAACAAGCGTGATGAAAGTCGCCATGATGCTCTCGACCTGCGAACTGTGCAGGATGATGGGGTCGTAACTGAACGTAACCAGGATCTCTTTTCCACCAATCAACGTCACCAGATCAACATCGAGGGCATTGGGAGACAAGCCTTTGGGGTTCTCGTACACTTTTGGGGAATACAGACCAGCCGCTTGAGCGTCGAGGTTATCAAAAGCAACGGCTTGGAAGTTGAACAAGTTATGCAGTTTGCATGCCTTGTTACAATCTTCATTGATCCGCGATATTCTTTCCCATCCGATGTGAGCGTGCGGTATAGCTTCAAGGTTGTCATTCTGACACTGGGCCAGGAAAGATGAGATGCTGAGACTATAATCGATACGCGTGCGGCAGGGGATAAAGGCAGCTGTGGGTCCCGTCATCTCCTCTATACCTGGAACACTGGCAGCAGCGGTGGCGCGGCCAGACAGGATGGTTCTGAAGATGACATCGTTGCTTCCCGTGAAATGGCCCACGGTGAGTGCCCACGCTGCTTGCGCAATGGTAGCTACTGTCGCGCCAGACTGGCGAATCACATCTGGAGCTGGAAGAGATAGCTTTTGCTTGATCGACCACGAGGCCATAGGCATATAGCTTGCAGCGATATCTGCCGGTTTCCCCGGGAACTCTGCTCCGGGTGCGCCTTGGAGCTTCCTCTGCCAAAAGGTGATGGCATCCGCTGGATCCAATGCTGTCTGATATCGTATAAACTCTTTGAATGGTGTGGCTCTGTCGCTGCTATCATCATGATACTCGGTTGATGGACTGAAAAACAACCTGGACCAGATCGGACGCAAGGACCATCCATCGTAGAGTCCATGGGAAGCACTGAAAAGAACGGTAACTGTTCCGCTCGTATCCTTGGCGCCTTGCAGCGAGGAGGCTGCCTTCACGAGTCCAACACGAGCTAGCGGCTGGCCGTAATCGTGGGTATCGTACACGATGTTAGCGAATGTCTCAATATCTGGCACTTCTTCCCACGTCAGAGCACCACTCTTCATGACGACCTGCAAAGCACCACTGTCCTGGCCTGGGATCATCCGGGTTCGCAATAGCTCGAAACCCTGGAATGCAGATTCCCACGACCTCTTGAGCATCGCCAGATCGGATGCGGGTATGTCCATGTGAGCAATCATGAGCCATGCATAAGGGGTTCTCGCGGTCAAGGCCATAGAACTCTCTTGCATGGGCGTAGCTGGATATATGTCTTCAACATCTTCATAGTCAATGCCGTAAGTCGGGAGCGTGTAGTTGATCACGCTTTCTGCTTCGGTTTCGGAGATCAAATCGAATTGCGCTGATGTCAGCACACTGAGGGGAAGCTCGGCGGCGGCAGCGTCTTCCGGCGTTGGCTCGATGTGGGTCGCCATATCCGAAAGTAGAGGGTTTGAAAATATGGCGGAAAAGGTTGTTTCATAGCCAAGAGACCGAGCCAAGCTTACCAGTTTGATCGCAGAGAGTGAGTTGCCTCCCAAAGAAAAGAAGTCGCTGTTTACAGTCACGAGATTCTTGTCGACTCCCAATAGGCGTTCCCACCAGTCCCGTAGCATGTCTTCCCTTGCATTCAGCGGGTGAAGAATTTCCCTGTCATTGCTGTTTGGACTCTCGAAATTCAGGGAGCCGAGACATGTTGCTATGAAACCACGATCCAGCTTGCCTGATGCAGTATTCGGTAGCCTATCTAGCGCAATGAATATCGAGGGTACCATGAACGCGGGGAGCACCGCTCGAAGACTGTGTTGCAGTTTGGTGGCTATTATGTTGGGATAGTCGGCACTCCCAGTGCGCAAATGAGAGAATCGCACACCAGATAGCGCGTCCACAAAGTCCACCTCCATGACAAGGAATGCTACCAATATGGGGTCTGTCTTGGCTGAACGTAGCTGAAGATCATCAGATGAAGGATTGCAGAGCTGGACAGTGCAATGACGGAAGAGCTTGTCAGTGGCCATCGACTTCTGAATGTGGTGCTGCACCTCGCCAACATCGATGCGCTGACCACGAATTTTGATTTGGCCATCTCGTCGGCCGAGGAATTCAAGACTCCCATCCGATTCATATCGGACCAGATCTCCAGTACGGTAAATCCGCGCTGTACGCGTTGATCCAAGCGCAGTACTAAAAGACTCTGTGCTGAAAGAGCGTAACGTAGCCTCTTCCATGCTATGATAGCCACGCGCCAACTGTTGACCACTAACACAAAGCTCGCCCACCGCACCAATTGGCACGAGGGTGTTTGATTCGGGCCTCATCACCCATACGTCCACGCCGAGTCCTTTTCCGATGTTGCGACTGCTTTTCTGACGGACGCCCTGCACGATATCTCTGGCGGTCGCATAGATGCATGCCTCCGTGGGACCATACGCATTGACGATGCGCCGTCCGGGCTGCGCCCAAGCATCAATGTCTGACTGTGATAAAGTCTCTCCAGCGAAAACCACGAGTTTCACGATTGGAAGTTTGCCACCATCCAAAAGTCGCGCAACCGTCGGTGTCAAAGATAGCACATTGACTTTCATCTCGAGGATAGACGCGGTCAAATCATCCATGCGTGCCTGCTCGGACGGGACACATACACAACCTCCGGCAGCAAGTGTGGTGAAAATCTCGAAAAGACTGACGTCGAAGGTGAAATTACTGAATTGTAGCATGCGCGTCGTTCGATTCAACTTGAAGTAATCCTTCTGGAAGGCTATGGCACTCGACCAAGCTGCATGATCAATTTCCACCCCTTTTGGCCTGCCCGTGGTTCCAGATGTGTAGATTAGGTATGCGAGCTGAGCTGCAGGGGAAGCTTGGATGTGGCCTTGGCTTGAATCGCTGGGTCTTTGTGAAGATTGCGAGAGGGAAGATAACTCGACTGGTAATACACAACGGTCTGCGAATAAATCCGACAAATACTTTGTATGACTTGGAGAGGTTAAAATGATTTCCACCTTAGCTGTGTCGACGAGAGCTTCAAGGCGCGATGCTGGCTGGGTAGGATCAAGAGGTACAAACGCACAGCCGGCTTTGAGTATTGCAAGCATCGACACCAGTGCGGCCGCTGACTTGTCGATACATAGACCAACGAAACAAGATTCATTGTTGTAAGGTTTGCGCTCGTGTATGTCTTGCGCCAGGATGTTGGCAAATTTGTCCAGTTGCTGATATGTCAAAATTGCATCATGAGAAATTACGGCCATGTCAGATGGCTGCTCATAAGCAGTCTGTTCCACTATTTGATGCACAAATATAGGCACAAAATCATTCGGCTTGCCCGAGTTGAAGTTGAGAATGGCGTTGATATGATTGGGAGCTGGGTCCATGAGGCTACCAATGTCACTGGGTGACGAATTCGAGGTGCATTGGCTGACATTCCGTAAAATGTGATCAAATTGCTGCATCGCGAGGATAAGAGTCAATTCATCAATGCAGTGAGGATCAAAGGCGGCTTCGATGCTCAGCGAACCGTCGTCAATGCTACACTCGAGGACAAGAGGATATGGATGGAAATCGGCTGAATCGATAGGCAAGGGAACAATGCCGAGCTCGTTGAGATGAGAATTTTCCGTAACAGAACCCGGAGTAACAACTAGTAGTGTATTGAAGTTGCAAGCCTCCCGCGCAGCTGGACTCAGGCTTTGGATATTCTGGAGACCAAGGTGCTGATGAGGTATTGCTGAATTAATGACTTGTTGTAATGACTGCAGGTAGTCCGCTAAGCTCATGTCATGTCGGACTTCTATTTGTCTGGGAACTGTAGCGATCGTCGGTCCAACAATTTCCTCGATATCGGGAAGTGCGATGTCTCGGCCGGATAATGTTACGCCATACGAGACCAAAGCACTATCGGAATACCCAGCCAAAGTCATAGCCCACACGGCGTTGACAAGATCAGCTGCAGTTACCGAGAGATTTCGACTGGTCTGTGCACTGTAGTAGAACTGAAATACTTTGCTCGAACTTGCAGACGGCTTATGAGAACTCGCCACCGGTGGCCACTTAAAACCGTTCTCGTCCTGGCGAATCAGCTGATTCCTCCAGTAATCCTCAGAAGGCCTAGTGCTCTTTACATTGAGCTCTCTGATGAAAGATTGGAATGATGGGCTGGGATGAGTTGCACCCGGAGCTCCGCGAAAGAATCTAATCACAGTGTCCCAGATCAATCTCATTGACCAGCCATCATAGGCTGCGTGGTGAACACTAATGATGAAGGAACTTGGATTACCCTGTTCTCCTGAAACTATACCCAGGCGGAGCAGTGGAGATCCGTAGGAAAATGCTTGAGTCCGTTGTGATGCCATTTGGTCCGCGCATGATTTTCCAGTGACAGAATAAGCTGCGAGAGCAGATCGAGAGACGACGATGAAGCTACCATAAGGTCTCAAGATGATCCGACTTCTCATCATTGCGAAGCGAGCACTGGTCTGCTCCCAGGCCAGGAGGAAACGAGGGATGTCCATTTCAGGAGGTAAGGTGAACGCAGCATGGAGACAATAAGCTTGTTGTTTTGATTTTGAGGAGGAGATGGCCATTAACGCTTCCTGCATAGGACTGCAAGGATAGATGTCTTCGATATCTTCGACAGATAGCGAGCATTCTGCCGAAATCGCTTGGAGTGACTCGTCATCAAATTTGATATCGAGCTGACGCACCAGCGAGAATGGCTCACTGCAAGAGTCTTCGCATATCGTAGATGCACTTGATGAGACTAGATTCGATGACGCAGTTGAAGAGATTGTAGTTGGAGTACTGGCCAAAAGATTTGCCATATCGATTAGATCCGGATTGGCGAAGATTTCTGCAATAGAAAGATCAATTCCAACGCGTCGGCATTCCGCCCTAAGTCGCATGGCAATCACTGAATCTCCTCCAAGATTATAGAAGTTACTTCTCTTGCTGATCACTTGGACGTTCAAAACCTTCTCCCATAGTTTGCCAAGAAGCACCTCTTCGTCTGTATCAAGATCGTCGCCATCGGTCGATATGGTAAGTGCTGCTGTGTACCCAACCAGCTGGGCACGGGCCAGTGCTGATGTTGCTACTTGAAGGGCACGTCTGTCAGTTTTTCCAGAAGTTGAGAGTGGGATCTTGTTGATCGGAATGTATGCTTGAGGAAGCATATACCGTGGAAGCGATGATACTGTAGATGGTTGACGCAGTATCTTGGCCACCACAGAACGTAATTTCTCGATCGAATCTGCATCAATAGGAATGAGTTCGTCACTCGCAGAAGCCTCTTTCGATACCTCCGAGTCAGGTCTTACGCAGACAAAACAGACTAGTATGTCGCTCTCTCCGAGGCTAGCCCGCTTGAGCAAATCGACGACGATGGGACCGTCGTCTCGCTCAAGGCTGGTGCTCAGTACAGTTTCAATCTCGCCAACCTCAACACGCTGGCCGTTGATCTTGATTTGTGTATCTTTCCTTCCAATGAAATTCAATGTTCCATCAGAATTGTAGCGGACTAGATCGCCTGTTTTGTACAGTTTGCTGTTCGGCCGAACGCCCTTAAGCCATTCAGGACTGTCAATGAACACTGCCGCCGTGGTTTCGGGCCTTTTGAGGTAGCCTCTGGCCAGTATAGGTCCTTCTATGAGTAGCTCGCCTACGGCGCCTATTGGTCGAAGAATACTGTGATCATTCTCATCAACAATCCACGTAGCACAGCGATATCCACGCCCAATGTTCGACGCGCCAGTCTCCCGAGTCACGGCTGAGTGCGATACGCATGCTACGGTGCATTCAGTAGGACCGTACATGTTGATCAACTGAAGACGGCTAGCCCATGCGTTCACTTGCGATACGGAAAGGGGCTCGCCTGCCAGGCAGAGGGCTTTCAGGGTCGATACCGATAGCGGGTCAAGTAGGGCAGCAAAAGACGGAGTGATACCTGCCCAAGTAGCCCTACTACGTGCCACGAAGGTTGTGACCTCGACAGGGCTACGGTCTTCTTCTCTCGGAATGCAAAGGCAGCCACCCACTTCAATGGTCGTGAAGATGTCACCTATTGACGCATCGAAACTGTATGATGCAAATTGTAAAGACCGTGTATCAGGTCCCAAAAGCGTCATACCTGTGGCAACCGCGTGTTCTCTCAACCCTGTGGCCAACGCGCGGTGGGTTATTAGGGTACCCTTTGGTGTTCCCGTGGTACCAGAAGTAAACACCGCGTACATAAGGTTCTCTGGATTTACTGACTCGTAGATCGGTGCGTTTCCCAGTTCGCGTTGTCCGGAAGAAAGCAGTTGATCAACAAGTCCTTGGCCAATCTCAATTATGGAGATTGTCCTGCTTTCGGTGGCTGCACGGAGCTTGAAGCTTCGCGACTCTGCTGTCAAGGGCGAGCATACTACGACAGAGGCTTCTAGTTCGTTAATAAGGTTCCATAAACGTGCTTCTGGGTGTGCTGGATCTAGTAGCACAAATGCTCCCCCAGCTTTGAGGATACCCAGTATAGCAACGACTGTCCAAAGCGATTTCTCGAAGCACACAGGAACTAATATTTCCGGGCCAATGCCATACTGCAACAGGTGTCGGCCAAGGCAGGTAGATACATCATCGAGTTGTTTGTACGTCATGATTCCATCCCAGCTGTAAATCGCCTCCCTGTCTGGATACGCTCGCACCCGTTCGGCGAAGATCTCGTGTGCGCATTTTTCCAGGGGAGTAATCAAGGGGTTGTTCCACTGAAGGAGCGAAACCATGTCGCGTTTGCCCGGCTTCAAAATATCCCGAAGACTTTGATAAGGATCGCGGACCAATTCTGAAAGCATATGACTGAGTGAACCGGCCACATTCTTGATATGCTCGCTCCCGAAGGCCGAACCCAAGAAGTCAAAGTGCATCTTGATTTCCCCGTCAAAATCATTGACTTCGACGAATAGAGACAAGTCAAACTCGGTAGGATCCTTCTCCGTGATAGTCTCAAAGATCAGGTCCTGGCCGCGATCGATCTGAGATTGTCGCGAAAGGTTAGGAAGAAATGAGATACCGCTATTGAACAGCAATGAGTTTCCCGGCAATTCTATGGCGCTTTGGATCTCGGCGAGAGAGGTTCCTTGATGGGCGATGGCATCGGCTGAGGACTCCTGCATTCTTTTCATCAATTCCACCAAAGATGATTTCAAGGCATGACCAAAGTCCACGAAACAGACTAACATAGCAATAAATGGGCCAATTGCATCTTCGATTCCGTCGAGTGGTGCATCACGCCCTGAAGCAAGATATCCGAAAACAGCATGATTCTCGCCGGTATACAGCCGCAGCACGAGCGCCCATGCCAAATGGACTAGAGTTGGTATGGTTATCTGTAAACTTCCTGCAACACGTTGAAGTTCCGACAATTTCACCTCTAGAGGTACCGGAGCATGGCATCTCTGTGGCTTCTGAGACTTGGGTGATTCCTGGTCCATCCTGGTGTCCAACAAATGGGGAAAAAAGCATGGCTTGACACCATTGAGGTGGTCCTTCCAGTACAACAGACTGCGGTTCCGGCGTTCCGGGTCGCGAATGTAGTGGATGAAGTCACCGAAGGTGTTTCGTGTGCTATCTGAAGCTAGTACAACTTTGCTATACGCTCTTGAAAGACTTTGTAGCAATGGCTTCTGTGACATTCCATCAAAGAGGATATGATTCACCTGAAACCTGACAAACGTTCTCTTATCAGACGTTGAGCAAATGAGAAGCCTATGCGGGGGCTTCCTGTCAGGGAACAGGCCTTGATCTCTGTATAACGTATAGCCGTTCAGCTGCTGTAGTGCATCTTCGGAATTCTCTGCTTTGAGAAGGACAGAACATGGAACATGTTTCTTGAGAACGATTTGGTAAATCATATCTGATCCAGTGGCACTTGCAGATTCCAAGAAAACCGTCCGGAGTGGGGAGTGGGCTGCCACTGTTTCACGCCAAGCTGCTAAGAGCTGATCTGAGTCGATAGATCGGCTTGCTCCTTCGGTTTGATCTGTCGTGACCTCCCACGTGAAGTCAATCTCATAAGCGTCTAGATTGGTAGTTTTTAATTGGCTCAATGCCAAGGAATCTTGCATCGGAGAGCCATCTAAGATTGCCTCGACATCACAGAGATTTTCGACTTCTGGGATGGCCAGTATCGTTTGCTCAAGAGAATCAATCTCCAAATAATCCATGGTGCTGCGTTTTCCGACGTCATCAAGAGTCAATTGCTCCCTTTCATTCAGCAGTGATCCCACGATATGCTGTAGAACCGAAGGCAGAACAGATTCCAGCCAAGAAGATATTCGACTTTGATGCCGTGTTTTTGAGTTCCATGCACTTGTGAGATGCAGCTTTCCATCAGAAAGCACAGCAGCTGATAATTCGAACAAGCAGAACCTTTGGAGATTAGGGCCCATGTCAGCCAACTCCTCGCCTGCTGTCCACGATTCAGGCTTGAGAATTGCATCTTCCTTTTCCAAGGATTGGTAGCGGCCCTCGTAATTGAAGAGAATTTCGGCTGGCAGATGGTTCTTATAAGCAGATCGCCCCTCCTCAGTCAGATACTTGGATGAGAAGTACTGGTATCCTTTAGCAGGCATTGCTCTTCGCCAGTCTTTCACGCGCCGAACCACGTCCACGACATCGTCGGTATTGACGTTCTCCAGGAGAATAGGCGAGACAACAGTGAACCATCCCACGGTCTGCGAAATGTCAATCTGATCGTTCCATGGCTCCCTTCCGTGAGATTCGTTAAAGATTGGAGGTAAAGCGCATTCTGGAAATACTTTGCGAAACGATATAAAGATACTCGCTAAGAGGAGATCAACAGGCTCTGTGCGAAGTGCTCGATGGCAATCGTAAAGGAACTGGGACGCGAGCGTTGGATCGAGAGCTATACGGATTTCTTGCACGTCGCTGTACACATTTTGAGATGGCGAGATCCCCCAAAAAGAAAAGTCTGTATCAGGCACTGATAAACCATATGGGATTGTTTGTGCGGGAATGAGTCGTTGGCTGTGGCGCCTTTGTAGCTCAGCCCAGGCAGAGAATGGAATTGATTGCGACCGATCCTGTAAGATCGGTGCAATAGCCTGGCTGTCTGCCTCGATCAGAGCATTAACTAATGCTTCTAATTCCTCCACGATAACCCTCCAGGAGACCAAGTCGATTACGATATGGTGAGCAACGATGAACAGCAACGAGTCTTTTTCAGCAGATGTTTTGAACAGTTGCGCACGCACAATCGGGCCATCGAAGAGATTGAGGGCCTGTCGCGCTTGAAGCATTCTTCTCTTTTGGTCATCTCGTGATAAGTCATCCGAGATAATTTCCAAGTGGAATTCAGAGTCTGTCGCAGCAGTAATGTATTGCATCCATTCCCCATCTGAGGAGGCTCGGAACCGCGCACGCAGCATTGGGTGCCGCTGGATGATATCTGCTAACGCTTTTTCGACAAGTTGTGGCTGCACAGCCACCGTTAACCGTAGAAGAACATTCTGGTTGTAGTGATGCCAGGCTGAAGACGAATGCGCTGTCTCTATGAAGAACTGCTGCATAGGGGAAAGGTAAAAGTGCTGTTGCGCCTCGATCACAGGAATCTCTAACTGCGAAGATGTTTGCTCGCTTATTTGGCCGGCTACGTCCAAAAGCGATGTTGATGTTAATATATGCTTGACAGAGAGAAATCCAACACCAGCCCTTCTCGTTGCGGAAGAAACCTGCATAGCCGTGATCGAATCGCCTCCAAGTCTGGTAAATGAATGGGTCATGATGACTCTGTCCATTGGCAGGTTGAGCACCTGACTGCAGATTTCTTGAAGAAGCTTTTGCCCTTCATTAAGGGAGATCGTCTGCTGAGCTTCCAAATTCTCTTCTATCTGTGTGAGATGCATTAGCTGTTCCTGCGACAGGATCTCAACCTCATTCAACAGAAGTTTTCTATCGAGCTTTGACGAGGTGGAGTACGGGAATTTGTCGATTCCTAGCCAGTGGGATGGAACCATATACGGAGGAAGGCTTTCGCCTAGCTTCTTACGAGTTTCCTCGACTAGTGCTGGATCGAGCGGTGTGAAGTAAGAATTATCTGCGTCTGGCGTTCTTTGGGTATGGAGGATTGCCGTCAGCCGGTTAGCTAGCGGGCCCTTTTTGGGAAGAACTACAGCCGCCCTGCATGACTTGATATGTGCCTCGATATCACTCAGTTCTATGCGCTGCCCACCAACCTTGACCTGCGAGTCTGCTCTACCGATTACCTCGAACGAGCCATCGGCGAATTGTCGTGCTAAGTCGCCAGTCCGGTAGAACCGCCGTGGAGACGATTGCTCAGGCGTTGGATTGGGGAAGAGGTCCACGTCGACCAGAAAGCTGGCAGCTGTCCGAGTTGGGTCGTTTAGATACCCGTCTGCGACCTGCGAACCTTCAGATATGAGTTCGCCAATGGCACCAACTGGCATCAGGCGACGCTTGTCCATGTCAGCAATCCAAACACGAGTGTTCCTTGGTCGGGTTGTATTATAAGCGGCTCCTTTGAAGATACGCCCAAAATTAAGAATGAGAACATTCTCGGCTGGACCGTAAACATTATAAACCTCTGCGCCGCCATCTATCCAGCCAGCGATGTCTGACTCCTTGACTAGCTCGCCGGCCAGAAGCAGCTTTCTGATTGTTCCGGAGCAGACAGCAGGATCGAGAAGTCGAGCCACTGTTGGTGTCAAGTTTGCCCACGTTGGGCGTGAGCGTTGGATAAACTCCTGCAAATTTCCCATACGATCATCCTCAGATGGAATACATAGCGTCGAACCATGCAGCAGGGCAGTGACTATATCTGCATAGGACATGTCGAAGGTATATGATGCGAACTGAAGCATCCGCTCTGCGGGGTTCGCGTTACCGATTCTCCCAAACTCCCAAGCCCCAGTGCAGACTGCAGCATGCGAAGCAACAATGCCTTTGGGAATTCCAGTGCTTCCAGATGTGAACAAGCATATTGCAGGATCCTGGGGTTGTGGTAAAAGATTCTCGACGTGCTCGTCAGTCGATGGCCCCTGGACACTGAGCCGAGTGACTTGAACGACTTGAAGTTCTGAGGATGATCCCTTTAGCAGCGCAGCAAGACCACCTTCGGCGACCACCGCATGGCTCGCCTTTGTGACATCAATAATCTGTCGTATGCGCGATTCTGGAAATCTGGGATCGACAGGCACGAAAGCTGCACCCGTCTTGAGCACAGCCAGCATAGAGGCGATCGACCAGCGTGATTTGTGGAAACAAACCAGGACCCAGGATCCGACACCGACTCCGCGGCGTCGCAGCTCCCTTGATATGTCTGCGGAAACATGATCAAGTTCTCTATAAGTCATTTGGCCGTCCCAAGAATCGATAGCCTCGGCATCAGGCTGTGAGTCGGCCACTTTGGAGAATTCGGCATGAACCAAAGATTTCTTGGGGATGAAATCTATCTTGTTCCACTCTAGGATGTTTTGCAAGTCCTGCTGGCTAATCTTAAGATCTTTGAAAAGCTTGGGGCTCTTCGTCTCCAGGAAAGCATCGAGCGTCGAAGAAAGCGTTGCGCCAAAATTCCTGGCCTCGAGGTTGGACATAAAGTTGTGACGGAAAATCAGTGTGTATGCCGATGGCTCGACAACCAAGGCAAGATCAACACCTTGCCATAGAAGTTTGTTTGAATCCCCAGATTCTTCAATTGGATCTCCGTCGGCGGAAATAAGATCTTCGCCATTGACGTATATAATGGCTGTGTTGCTATGAACCGAATCTGACCCATTGTCATGGCTGCGAAGGTTGATCGAAATAGATCGCAACTCGGTCGATTCCAGTATGTCGCACGATCTGCTCGCTATCTTCGCTTCGGCAGCTTTGATCTGGAAGCAGATCTGCGGCAAGTTGGTGTACAAGCAGAGCGTTGCAGACCATGCAGCTTCGAGTGTTGCTGCCGACAGTGATGGTGTAGATGGCGCGCTCAAATATAGCTCCTCGCTTTCGGCGGCCTTGGAATGTTCCTTTCTTCCAGGGAATGCAGGCAGCTTGCAGGTCACCGCCTTTCTGGACATCGGCAATGAAGTTCGTTTCATGACTTCGGTATTATCCTCTGTGATATGGTTACTTGCGCAATCACATACAGCAAATAGGAGGCACAATGCGGGTTTGACGGCTGCACTGGGGACAATAACAGACGGTCAGGTGTCACACTACAGCCAGCAATTTGTCCCAAGCAGAACGAAGTCACGATCGCAATAGACGGAAGTTGAAGAGGCGTGCAGTGGTTGTGTCGAGCAAGCTTGAACAACTCTCTACCAGTATGCGATTGATCTCTAAGGCGCGCACTTCTATGGCTGCGAAATCATATCATCACATTATGATCGACTTGCATCACAGAAATCCATGACTTGATTGACATCCTCGCTCAAGAGGCGCACGAAAGGTGCTGCATGTAATAGTGTCCAGCGTTACCCGTGCAACATACGTTCAATACGGACTAGGCGCTGACATATCCCTGCATGAGCTCAGCATGAGGTGAGACAAAGCACGCCTCCACACAACGTGCAGAACGGTGCAACGCCTCCCGTAGCCCTTATTTCTGTTCCCTTTGACCAGATGTTGTGCTAGTGAAGCTACGTGGACATGTTTTGTGGCGTAGTTCCTGCTCTATCATCACGCCGAATGCACCTCCCGCTGCGTTGAACTCTCCCCGCTTTTTGAAAAAGTTCAATCATGGCTAACGCAGACGTTGCGATGCCAGCCGACGACAAGAGGCTTCAGGACGATGCAGAGGCGCCATCTCCACCCACGGGTTCAGCCACAGAAGCTCCTACGTTGACCACCATGGAATGCGTGCTAACTATCGGCTCGATTGGCCTGGTGGTTCTTATGGGCTCTTTGGTAAGACATTCGCAGCTTCTCTAGTAGTAGGTTTGACTAAATGTGTTGGTGGGTAGGATTCTACCATTGTGGCCACTATCAATCCAACTCTAGTTGCACAATTCAACTCAGGCGGGGACATTGGATGGTATGGCGCCGTCTTCCTCTTGGTGGTTGGCGCTACTTTGCCTTTCTTTGGCAAGCTGATCACCATGTTCATGCCGAGAAATGTTTTCCTGGCGTCCTTGACCACCTTGGAGATTGGGTGCTTGATGTGCGGTCTTGCTCAAAATTCGCCAACATTCATTGTTGGGCGAGCGTTCGCTGGACTCGGATGTGCTGGCATCCTTTCTGGCGGTTTGACGTACGTTGTCGAAAAGAAGAAACGGGAGCGTGTATGACGAGCATCTAGCTAACACTGTTTCGCAGCATTACTGCGTTGATTACGCCCCTGCGATATAGAGCCATGTTCATCAGCATTATTGGCGGCTTAGAAGGTGTTTCCAGTATCATAGGGCCCGTCATCGGTGGTGTCCTCACGAATACCATAGGATGGCGTTGGGGGTTTTGGATCAACCTTCCCTTCGGCGGTCTCCTTTTCGGCATCTTGCTCCTTGCCTTTCGGAAACCCATCAGGACGCCAGGCAATGGGACCAATGCAACAAATTCACCGCTCGAAAAACTGCGGCAGCTGGACTTTGCTGGAGGTTGCATTATAATAGGCTCACTCACATGCTTACTTCTGGCTTTGCAATGGGGAGGCTCTACGTATCCGTGGGCCAACGGTCGAATCATTGCGCTTTTCGTCATTTTCTTCATCTCCTTCATCTTGTTCACGATTTGGGAAACCAGACTTGGTGACGCAGCGTTGTTTCCGATGCGCTTGCTGAAGAGGAAAGCCTTGGTGGCATCCCTTTGGTTCGGTTTTTGCATCTCCAGCGGCATGTGGATCATTCTCTATTATGTGAGTCGCCCGTACTTAACACTCCACAGGTCAGGGGAATTGTAAGCTGATAGCATCTAGCTTCCGGTATGGTTCCAGGCGATTATGGGAGTGACGGCCGAGGGATCTGGAGTTCGTCTCTTACCAATGGTGATATCCGAAGTCTCGGTTGCGACCGCCGCAGCAGCGCTGGTTCCAGTTGTCGGATATTTGCCTCCTTTTGTCTTTGCAGCCACAACAATGTCATCCATTGGCGCTGGTCTGTTGTCCTCGCTGCATCCCGGTAGCCCCAGGGCTCAGTGGATAGGATACCAAGTGATATTAGGCGCGGGCTACGGTATCGGGATTCAGCAATCTCTCGTCAACGCCCAAGCATCAGTGGAAGCAGCAGACGTTGGCTACGGGACATCTGCCGTGCTCTTGGGCAACATCCTCGGAGGCTCCATTTTCATTAGCATTGCGCAAGCCATCTTCCTTGGCGAGGTTCTGACACTCGAGGGCCAGTTTCCCGGAGTGTCGCGTGATACATTGATAAATGATTTTCGCTCGCTGCGAGAGATTGTCTCGCCACAGGATCTGGCAACAGCTTTGGACGTCTACAACTCGGGTTTGCGAAAAGTATTCCTGGTGGCGACAGTGTTGTGCACACTGTCCGTCTTGGCCTGGCCCTTCATTCCTTGGCGCTCGCTCAAGGCCAAAGATAAAGAAGATCAGAATGTAGAGAGCATCACAGAAATAGTACGAAGCGACGTCAAGGATGAGGAGGCTGTTTCTTCGAGCAATTTGACAAACGCGAGTCAAGAGAAGACAGACGCAAGCCAAGCGAAGGCGGATGCGAGCGAAGAGAAGGCTGATGCGAGACACAAAAATGTAGAGCAGACTTGATTAGAGTTGATATCCTAGCGTCGTATGTTCTATATAGAGGCTAGAAAAGAGTCATCATCGAGAGACTAAAGTGGAATCGTGTATGCATTGATCGAGGGTTGAAAATGTGCCCCAACACTTACATCAGCTCAGTTTTCTAGAATTTCCGCTGCAATCTGAACTTTGAAGCTCAAAAGTAGCTACGTACGTGCCGGAATACTCACACTGGGTGACGTTGATCAGCTTGGCTGACCCTCGATGAGCGTTCATGAGAGGTAATACCTTAACCTAATAGGCAGGTAACATGTTACAATCTGCACGCCGCGCTTATCAGGTGAGGAAGCTGTTGTGCAGATTTTCTTCCAGGTACTAGGATCAAGGGATTTAAAGCCTCGAAGCCTCTGCCTGTGCCGCATAGCCCTCAGTCATCCTTCTTACTCTGTTCCTGCCACCCACTTTCAAGTCACGCCAATTTCACCGATGTCTGCCACCACAGAAATCAAAGTGTACGTCGTCACCGGCGCCAATCGAGGCCTCGGTCTCGGCCTTGTGCAATCACTCCTTGCGCGTCCCCAGCACACGGTGGTCGCCACGGTTCGTAGCGAGCAAGCCAAACAATCGCTAGAAGACGAGGTCAAGAGCGTCACGAAAGGAACTGGCAGCACGCTTGAAATTATACAATACGACTTCTCTACAGCCATCGCTCCGAACCTAGTGGAAAGCACATTCGCCAAGTTGAACATTCCGCACATTGACGTTCTGGTGCTCAACGCCGGAGGGGCACAGCCAATGGTCCCGCCAAGCGAAACCACAGCCGAGGACCTACGGGCAGCTTTCGAGACCAACACCATCGCGCCTCTTCTCGTCTTCCAGGGCCTGAAGTCATATCTGCTACAAGCCAAATCAACCCCCAAACTTATCTGGGTCACCTCTTCGGTCGGGAGCATTGGCGACATGGATCCGTTTGGCGGCGGCGCTTACGGTCCCAGCCGAGCGGCACAGAACTGGCTGGCGCGCTCCATCCATCTCGAATGCAACGGCACAAAGGGCGACACGCGTCTGATTGCCATTCCTCTGCATCCGGGATGGGTACAGACGCGAGCGGGGCAATATGTCGTCGATCAGTGGCAGTCGGCGCTCAAGGCCATCGACTACAATATTGAGAAGCCTCCGACTACGCTCGAGGACAGCGTTTCCGGCATGATCAAGGTCATTGACGATGCGACGGCGGAGCAATCAGGCCAATTCTTGACCTTTGAAGGCAAGTCCTTGCCGTGGTGAGTCATCGTTTGTGGGTTTGAAGAGTTTGCGCGCCAGGCGTGCCCATTCAGCGTGGAAGAGGCTCCCAAGAGCTCAATAGGTGTCAGCCGTCAGAGAACCGAAGAATACACTACTATGCGTCCATCCATGTTGCCTGTGTTCGGAAGGAGAGCTAGGTCCTTGCATATGCTTTCCATTCCCTGGTAATCTACGAAATACTGAAATGACTAGACTAGTAATTACCCTGCGCATCCTCAGCTGTCTGCTTACCACATCTCACCACACATAGCGTGACGCTCTCAGCCACCCATGCAGCCTCTGCATAACCCTCACAAGTTGCCGCATATTAGGTATGGATAGTCAGATGCAGTTGATTAGGTATAGTGCGGAACACATGTTGATGGCAAGCTTCGTCGCATGCCTGTGCGGCTCAACGCAAGGCCCGTTGCGTGGAAAGTCGCAATCACACCTCGGCGCGCGATCTATCTTTTGTATGCAGCAATTGTCGGACCAAAATGAGCATCATATTTTCTCTGAAGGGCAAAATTGCGGCCATCACTGGTGCCGGAGGGTGCGTTTCCTTCCTTTACAATTCAGTGTGATGATAGTACCTCGAAGCTATGCTCCACAAGGTTGCAATCAGTGAAACGCTTCTGGACTATAACTGAAAGCTATGCGCAGGGCCATCGGAACCCAAACGGCAATTAGCTTTGCTGAAGCTGGTGCGAGTACCATTCTTCTGTCCGACGTTTCCAGGGAAGCTCTAGACCGGCTTCAGAAGCTCTTGGACTCCAAACCATCATGTTCAGCTACGTGCTTCATGTATGAAGTCTGCGACGTCTCCAATGACGAGCAAGTTGCGGAGTTGCTTGCCAAACTTGATAAGCATGGCGGCCTAGACATCATGGTCAACAACGCCGGCGTCTTCCCTACAGATCTTGACGGGGATGCTGTGACGGTGACGGCTCGCGCATGGGAGTTGACGTATAAGATCAACGTGCTGGGCACCTGGCTGGGCTGCAAGCATGCGATTTTGAGCATGCGCCGATTCCGCAAGCAGAGCGGTAGTGTAATCAACCTGAGCTCCGTGGCAGGGCTTATCGGCAGCGCGACGTCGCAGCTGGCGTATACCGCCAGCAAAGGCGCCGTCATCGCCATGACCAGAGAGTTGGGCATCGTTCATGCACGGGAAGGCTTCCGCTTCAACTCGTTGTGCCCGGGGCCTTTGGATAGTCCCATGCTACAAGACTTCCTGGAAAGCGAAGACGATAGCAAAGGCTCATCTGCCAGCATTACCGAGCCCACAAAGGGTCAAACAGCTCGGAGACTAAGGAGGGAAGTGCACCTCCCCCAGGGACGCTGGGGTACACCGCTGGAGGTTGCGGGCGCAGCAGTCTTCCTGGCCAGTGATGCCAGCTCTTTTGTGAACTCGACTGAGCTGGTGGTTGACGGCGGGTTAACCAAGGCAAGTCTTTCATCCCGTGATCTTTTGCCGATCGGATTGCTAACGTTTGCCAGGCATTCGTCACTCCCGAAGGCGAGCCGCATCACAGTAGCCTTTCAAGGCGTCAGCCAGGGACCAATTCTAATCTTTAGTGTTAGCCATGCAATCCATTCTTTCTCGTATGAATAGATTATGGCCCGTGATCTGCTTGAACGTGACTTCGCTTTTGCCGAGCAAAGTGCTACAAATAAGGAACACCAACGCTTTGCCACATGTCTGGTCATGCCAACGTGAAATCGGAACGCAGATTTGTATAATTCGTCCTTCGACCAAACATAAGGGGTAATGAAAAAGTAGGGCACCACTGAGCATACTATCCCTATTACGAACATGCTCATGAACACAACACTATTCAGGTGCTTTTACACAAAGTCCCATCATCCTTCACCATCCAGTTCTCACTCCCGACACAGGTAATACAGTAGAAAACACCGTCTGGATCGTACTTTTGCTTCACCACGCTAAGGCGGTCAAAGTGCACGCCGTAGAAGTCTTCTTTCCAGTGCACATTGCCCCAGTCGGCCTCGTTCATGTACGTACCCACTGAGGGCGCAAGGCCGCGGTAGACGGGCTCCACTTTTGAGCGGATGTAGGCGAACGGCTCGACGTTGTTGATGTAGCTGAAGTCGACCACGTCGCGCTCGAAGATGTCGAGCACAATAGAACGGTACCAGCCGGGCTGGACGGCGGAGTCGTTGACCTGCAGGCCGTGCGTGGTCTCGAGGCCGTGGTGCACGAGCGTGTGATAGACGGGCTTGCCCGGCTCGCCGCCCATGATATCCATGGCGGCACGGAGACGCTTCTTGTCGCCAATCAGCGCGTGGGTGTCGAGGAATCGGGATGAGAGGGCCGAGATGCCGCCCACGCTTGCATTGGTCCCCGTCTTGTTGGCAAAGTACTTGCCGTAGTCAACATAGCTTGATTTGGTGATGTTGACCTGGATGCCGAGTTGGGTTGAGTTGTAAGATAGCACTTTATCCTCGAAGGACTGGAAGAGCTTCTGTGACTGTTCGGCTGTCTTCCCGGTGATGGTGAAGGCCTGGTACCAGACGTTGGTGAACTTGTGTTCGTGTAGGCCATCGGCCGAATTGGCAACCCAGTATCCGTACCCGGCGAATCCTTTCTTGGACAGATTGGGGAAGGAAGAGTACACGGCTGTCATGGCATCCAAGAATTTACTAACCGTTCCAATGCCCTGTGCGCCGAGCACAATGTAGAACAGGTTAACGTTCTGGTTTGGATATGTCTTGACAGTCAGTTGTGTTACGACACCATAGGTGCCAGGCCCTCCGCCGCGGATGGCGAAGAAAAGATCCGGGTTGACATTTGAGCTGGCCTCGACAAGCTCGCCGGATGCAAGGATGATCTTTGCAGACAGAACTTGGTCGCCTCCTATGCCAAAGTTGCGGGTTACGGGGCTGTGGCCTCCTCCCTGCGTCCAGCCTCCGGTGCTGCAAGGTCCCTGTGGATTTGTTAGTTTCGTTAGTGTTCTTCTGTGCTGCTGGGAAACTACAAACATTTTGGTTGCCTCCAACGACAATGACGCCTTTCTCCCAGGCAGTAGGGTAAATGTCAGACCAGGCGTAGGCGCCGTTGATCGTGAGGCTGGTACCATTCCAGGTCTGTGCGTGACGCCCGCCCGAGATGGACGCAGGCTCGTTGAAGGTGAAGCCGCCTCTGAAGTGATATAGCCATATGGACAGGCCGTAAAAACCCTTGGATCTACGAACGATCAGTCAAGTAATGACTATTATCCACACACGACTTACCTTTGGACGAAGTCATGGCCGGAAGATTTGATAACAACTCGAATATTCTTCTCTTTGGCAAAGCGGATGCCGTTCTGGATGTCCGCTTCCGTCGTTGCGTTGATGGCGTAGACGGGTGAGTTGCCAAGCTGACACTGGCTGGCCGGGGTGTCGGTTGCGGTTGGTGGTGGGCATGTCTCGTTGAGCGGGTAGTCATAACCAACAGGATGCTGAGCCTCGAATTTGGGGTCATAAAACAATGTGTCGTTCAGCTGTGCGCATTGCTCCGCGTCGTAGGTGGGTCCCACATAGCAAGGGAGCATGACTGGGGCTGTCTTGATCAGTTTGCCACTGATTGTCTGATTGAATTGCGCCCATTCGTCCGCGGTTGGCCAGCATGTTTGACTGGGGGTCTGTTTGATTGGTGAGTTAGGTAGTCCTGTATTATCACGGGGTTGCGCTTTATGATAAACTCACGCATTTGCACTGGCCCGCTGCCAAGGGTACCGAGAACAGCAACAGGACGTGAAGTATCTGCCTACGCCATGCTGCACCCATGCTTATAGTGAGTGTCCGAAGACTTTAAGCTTTTGAGTTTGTCTCTGTAAAGTAGTCGTCGAGGATCGTAGACAGTTGCGCACTGCAGTATTACCTGTAACAGAATTGTGTAACAATCGCATCTCGCTGCAGGAAGTGACGAAACTGGGTAGATATACCAATCGCGCTCCTTGTACTAAGATTGCATACGCTACAGGGCGGCCCGTGTTATGGTTTTTGCTGCGTGTAGGTGGCGAAATCCGCTGACGTGAGCGTTATTATGCAGCAAGATGATTACGCATAACATTACTACAGTTAATAATCGCCCAAGTTACAGGGTAATAGCTATCCCCCAGTACAGAGACTATTTCCGTTCTTATTTAGGAGGATAGAAAGCTTATTCTACGATACTCTACTATACCTGCCTGCCTAGAGTGCCTATACTAGTAGACAGGTTTAGGGTACCTAATAATAAGTTAGGGTTAAGTTAGAGTTACATAGACTTTAGGTAGAGTTATAATTAGGTTTATATAAGATAGATCTAAAATTTAACTCTAATTAATTAACTTTATCTATAGTCTATAAGTATACCTACTATATATATTTATTAAGGTAGATAAACCAAATTTATAACGCTAATAAGATAAAAATTATATAATATATAATAGAATTTTAAAATTTAGGTTAAAAAATTTAAAACTTCTATTCTATATATAAATAAAAAATAGAAAAGAATTTTAAAACCTATTATTATTACTATATAGTAAAAATAAAGAAATAGAATTTTCTTATATTAACTTACCTAGAATAAAATAAAAATTAAAAGGTTTAATACTAAAAAGAGTAAATTTTAAATATATTTTAAGAAAGATTAAGATATAGTTTAAAAAATAATAAATATAATAGGCTATACTTAGTAAAACTATAGTAATTAAAGCCTTAAACCTTAGTAGGTCTAACTACTAATACCTTTACTACTACCTATACTTTAAAAACTTTTAGTATACTACTAAAAGAACTATAAGTAGAGAAAAACTAAAACTATAAAGCTATAGTAGATTTATTTAACTTAAACTATTATTTACTTTTAAAGTTAATTATTTATATTAAAACTTAATAATAAAAAAAACTATTAGGTATTAAAAAGACTTTAAAAAGTACTAATATTATATTCCTTAAAAGAAATACTATAGTTACTAAGCTAAAAGTAAAAGCTTTATAGCTAGCAAAAATAAGCTTTATATATAAGAAAATTAAAATAGTATTAGGCGTGTAGGGTTAGAATTAGGTAGGCCTTTTCTTACTACTCTCTATTTTTTACGCTAGGCCTAATTAAGGTTTTTTCTAGAATCTAAAAATAATAATAACTTAGCTAAATAAATAGCTATTAATATAAACTAAAGTTCTAGAATACTAAAGAAATATAGCTCTATAAATCTAGAAGATAAAAACTCTAGATTAGTAAGTAGAAAAAATCTAATCTTTTTTAGAGTAACTAGAGTAAATATCTCTAAGAAAAAAAGATATCTACAGTAAATATATAGAAATAAAATCTAGATAAAATCTAGAATATAAAACTAGTATTCTAGTACTATAATAAGCTGCTTAGTAAGCAATAAATACGCACTAGAGGGCTAGAGTTCTAGTATTTAAAGAAATAAAAAGAGTATTTCTAAAATTTACCTAGTAACTACTCTATCTAAATATCTACTTAATAACTACTATTATCTAGATTTTTAGTACTATAAAAGCTGCTTAGTAAGCAAAAAAACAAGACTAGGATATCTAATATAGAATAACTAGAATTTAATATAGAGTATTTCTAGAGTAACTACTCTATATATATTACTTAAATACCTAGTTATTACTCTATTAGTACTAGCTATAAAGTTACTTAGTAAGTAGAAAATATCTAGTTTATACCTATATATATTGGGATTAGGGATTTTGGTTTAAAATCCTTATAGAATAGGTATATACATAATATATATTACTAGTATAAAATTTAAAAGTTAAGATATAAAAGTCTACTTTTAACTAGGTAAAATTTAAAAGTAGAGATATAAAAGTCTACGTCTAACCTAGTAAAATTAAAAAGGTAAGATACTAAAGTCTACCTCTAACCTAGTAAAATTTAAAAGGTAAGATACTAAAGTCTACTTTTAACTAGGTAAAATTTAAAAGGTAAGATTTAGAAGTCTCTTCCTAACCTAGTAAAAGTTAAAAGTTAAGATATAAAAGTCTACTTCTAACACAGTAAAATACATAAGTTAAAAGGTAGAAGTTAAGATATAAAAGTATACCTTTAATATAGTAAAGTTTAAAAGTTAAGATATAAAAGTTTACCTTTAACCTAGTAAAGTTTAAAAGTTAAAATATAAAAGTATACTCTTAGCCTAGTAAAATACATAAGTTAAAAGGCAGAAGTTAGAATATAATAGTCTACTTTTAACCTAGTAAGATTAAAGAGTTAAGATATAAAAGTAAACTAAAAAAAGTAAAATAATTTTAACCTATAATAATACTAGAAATACCTTTTTTTATACTAGAATATTTAGAATGTAAGTTTAAATATAATAATAATAATAAAGGTAAAGTAATAATTTAATATAACTTTACCTTACTAACTTAGTCTTAACTTATTAAACTCTAAGGTAAAGGTATTAGCTAATAAAACTACGCCTATATTAAGTACCTTTTTTATTCTACTTTACTATATAATCCTCCTTTTTCTTTCTTACGCCTTATACCTATTTCTAACCTACCTTCTCTATTAGCCTATTATAACTACTACTATATACCTATAGAAGTAATTAATCTAACTAGATTAAATAATAAATCTAGCTATAGAGATTAAGCTCTTTTACTAGAAGATAAAGAAGAGTTTAAAGACGTTAAGCTAGAAAACTATAGTACTAGCCTAGACTCTAAATATAAAGTAAATAGTAATAGTAGCTATAGGTAAGGGCTTATAATATTCTAGTAAAATTATAAGTAGCTTTTACTAATACTAGCTATATCTTAACTTTACTATAATATAAAATTACTCTAAAGCTAAACTTCCTATAGACGTCTAAATATAAAATACCTAAATTATAAAGATATACTACGTAACTATAATTTAGAACCTTCTAATACCTAAGTTAATTTATAATCTCTTTATTACTATAGACTAAAGTAATAATTCTATATTTTTTAAGATTACCTACTTTATCTCTAAAGTGCTATACGTAATTAGCTATACTATATATAATAAACTAGCCTCTATTATCTTAGACCCTATTTAGTATAGTAATAATATATATACAGTATAAGAGCTTATATATACTCCTTTAATAATTAACTTTAAAGATATTATTAATAAGCTATTTATTCTTAATTAGTATTATCTCTTTATAGTAGTATTCTAGTATATAGAGAGGATTCTTTTTATACTTACTAAGTCCTACTAATATAAGCTATACTAATATTAATATAGTTTATTTTAATATTACTATTATATATCCTAACTTAAGTCTAACCTAGAATACTAGGCGTTTAAACTATTAGAGTATATTAACTACTTTACTAATAGGTAGTAGTATCTCTAGGTAATACCTAAACTATTAGTACCTATAGATATTAAGTATATAGAGTATAAAGAGAGGGTATATAGGTATAATAAAAATAATAAAAAAGAAAGTAGTAATAAAGATAAGAATAATAGTAAGCCTAAGCGCAGGTAGAATACATATTAGAATAATCTATAAGTAGGCTAAAGTAAAATTAATAGTTACTATATCTCTAATAGAGTAGATTATAAGATTCTATATTATAACCTTTACTTATATTATCTGCTATTTCTTTTATACTACTTTTACTTTTCTTCTATTATATACTTATTATACTTATTATTCTTATTATACTTATTCTTATTATACCTATTATACTCCTTGCTTTTTCTATTATTCTTACTATTTATATACTTCTTAACCTCTTAAACCTCCTTAGCCTAATACTAACCTAGATTTATAAAATTATTAACTAAATTATTTTTAATTAGCTTCTAAGTATATATAGAGAAGATATTCTGCCCTTAGGCCTATAGATAATTAATATAGTTAATAATAACTATATTATAGGCGTTTTTTTATATTACCTTTACGCTACCTTTACCTATAAATATATTATTCTACTAAATAATCTTATTAATAGTAGTAATACTAGTAGCCTATTAAATATTAAACATATCTATATAGATATAGAATAAATAGACTAGAGTATAGTATAGTATATTAGTTATAACTATAGGTTATTTCTCTTTAGTAGGATATAGTACTATCTAGATAGTATAGTTATCTTTATTAAATCTAATAAGAATTACGCTATAGACGTTCTATATAATAAAGGTATTACGTATACTAAACGCAGTAGCTTAGTTAATAAGTTAAAAAGAAAAAAATAAAATATTTAAGAATATAGTTAAAGGGCTCTCTGCTTTAAAAGAAATAACTATACTATTAACCCTAAAGTATATATATAGAGTACTAGTCTTAGAGGTAGCTAGTAACCTATAAACTATAAGTAATAGGTAGATTTTATCTTTAGAAGTAGTATATAGGTAATAAAGTAAGCTAGCCTAGATACTATAGGCTATCTTAAAGCTACTAAGGTATAGTAGTAAATAAAAGTTAGCAGTTATTATTCTAAATAACTTAAGCTAGTGCTATAAAAGATATTAGTTATAATACTATTATATATAAGAGTAAGGAGAAAAAACCTATACTACGTTAAACCTAACTAATATCTAGCTTTAAGATACCTAGTAGGTTATTTATATAAGCCTTATCTAGTAAATAAATACTATTATAGAGGTACCTATCTAGAGTAAAGAGATACTATATAGTAAAGTAAAGGTAAGTAAAATAGAGTAATAAAGTAAAAGCTATAGCAGAAATAGAACTATATTAGAAAAAGTAAATTACTTAGAGAGTATAAGGTTAAGTAGCTAAAGAGTAGAGTAAGTAATAAAGCTAGGTAATAAAAAAAAAGTAATAGTAGGTATAGTTAGGAAAAAGACTATATTAATTAATTACCTTAATGTTCTACTTATATACTACTTATAGCCCCTTAACGTATATAATATCTATTACTATTTACTATAGCAGGGCTTAGGCTAATATATAAGTAAAGATAACCTCTAAGTAGTAAGTATATTACCTTTCTCTTTACTATTATTACTTAGATTATAAATAGAAATAAATAGTCTTAGTATATAAATTACTAGAAGGTTTTTTTTACCTCTAACCTAATAAGATACTGCTTCTTAGTAGAGGCTTATAGTAGTAATATGTCTAAGTCTATATAGTACTATAGTAATAAGTAATACTATAAGCCCTATTATAGGATAGATAGATATAAAAGAACTATAGTTTTTAGTATATATATAGTAATAAGTAGAGACTAGTAGTAGTAAGGAAGATACTAATAACTTTCTTTTTTCTTAGGCTAATATCTAACTACCTAAGTTTATAAAGCCTAATAGTAATACCTTTATACTTTATTCTAGTAAAGCCTCTCTCTATAGGTATAGTACTTTATACCTTAAGTATAAGTTTTTTAAATACTATTAATATATAGGTATTATTTTCTTTACGCTGTAGAGGTAGCCTATATTAAAAGAACCTAACCTTAATATACCTATTATTCTATATAACCTAGATAGATAGCTGTATAAGATACTATATACTATATTTACCTATTTTTAAGTTAATAGTAAGGGTAAGTTTATAATTAGTTAGAAAGAAGTACTACTTATTATACTCTTTACTATAGTAGTAAATTAGTTTAGTAAAGCCTTTAAACTAAGTACCTACTTTAAGTATAGTTAATAGAATAAGGGTATTAAGATCTTAAACTAGAGTATATATAGGTTTAATGTTTATTACTATAGTAGTAGCCTTAGTAATTTATATTATAGTATCTATAATAAGCTATATAACCTTATAATATATAGTATCTAACTAAGGTTATTAATAAAGTATAAGATAGAGTTAATATATTATTTTAATTAAAGTTATTATTATAAGGTAGGAATAGAGTAGGAATAGAGTAGGCTAGAAGTTAGGTAGAGTATATATTTATAAATAGGTAAGGACGTAGGATTCTTAACCTTTAACCTTATATATATAGTAAGTAATATATAATAGGTAAATACAGAGGCTAATTCTAATTAAACTTAATATATTAAAGGATACCTAGCTTAGTAACTATATAATATATTACGTACCTATAGTAAGCTAATTAAATAAAGTTATATTAACTATACTACCTAACTACTACTTAACGTAAATAGAATATCTATTATATTACTAAACCTATAGCCTATATATAACTATTCTATTATAAGAACTAGCCTAGCTTCTAATAGACTTTCTACAGCGTAGTATATCTCTACCTATTATAATATAGATAATATTAGTAGGTAGGTATATAGTATTAATATATACTAAATATTATAAAATATAGCTCTTTACCTTATTAGGTATATAATCTATAGGTTAATATTATTAATTAGATATTAACGTAATATGCTATTACTTCTATAGATAAATAATATACATACCTAAGGCCTATATAACCTTACCTATAGTAGAAGCTCTATTAGTTAAATATAGTATAGTAAACTTATATATTCTTATAAATAGTATAAGATAACCTCTCTATAGCCTATACTAACCTATTTATAACTAAGGTCTCTATTTTAGGCTAGATAAAGTACTAGTATATACTACTATTAGTATAGTACCTATAGCTAATAGTATATATAGAGCTAGGTTACTAATAATTCTCTAGTTAGAGCTACCTATTCTATATAATAGCTTACTTTATAACTAGTATATATAACTATATAAGCTCTATTCTACTAGTAAGTATCTTCTATATAGCCTAGGTAATATAGTTAGTAAAAAAGACCTCTTTAACTAAGGTATATTAGTTAGCCTAGTTTACTTTTACCTAGTATTATAAGATAAGTAGTAACTTAAAGCTAGCCTATTAGAGAACTTTATTAGGCAGAATTCTAATATACTAATTATTATAGCTTATAAGTATAGATAGCTAGTTAAGGTTCTTTATTATCTCTACGCTAGCTTCTATTAGTAATAAAAGGCTATTAAAGAAGATAATAATATAGTTACCTTAGACTATAATAATAATCTACTTATTACGCTCTTAATACTAGTAGTAGATATAGGTAGCTTTACCTTTAACCTAATAGCCTATTTTAAGGATAATATATAGTATAGTAGTATTAAGATCTTAGATTAAGATATATATACCTTCTTATTAATATATATATATAGCTATAACCTAGCTTTCCCTTTTACTCTCCTTAGCTACATCTATAGTAGCGTATATTAGGAGGTTAAGGTCTATATAGACTACCCTATTTTATAGGATATATAGAATAGGTAGGTTTAGTAGGTAAGAAATAAAGAACTAGGTACTATTAAGTAAGAATAAGTCTAGTAATAGGATAAGTATAGTATTAAAAAGAGTTAATTTATTAGAAATAATATAGGTATCTATAGCCTTATAGTAGTTAGAAATATAAATTAAAAATTAAAAATTATTTAATATACTATAATTTACTAGGCTTTTTATACCTACTTCCTTTTCTTATATTTACTATACTACCTTACTATATATTACCTTTACTATAGGTATACTCTTTACTTTAGCCTAAGCCTACTTTAATATAATTATGCTATATCTTTACTATTTTAATATATCTACTTATCTAGTCCTACTAGCCTACCTATATTCTACTACCTTATAGCCCTACTTATATCTAGGCTAATTCTTACTTCTACCTACTTCTCCTTACTAGCTATATTAGTGTATATAGATAATAGTAATAGCCTTTTAGTAGGCGTAATTATAACTTACTATATTTTATCTACCTTACTCTTATTACTCCTATTCTAGTAAGTATATCTAATATAGCTAATTTAAAATATCCTAGGAGGGTTAGGCTCTTTTACTAGATTACTATAGAAGAGCTACTATAACTAGTAAGTATAAGCTAGACTCTAAGTAGAAGTATTACTAACCTACTCTTTCTTTTTTCTACTAGGATAAAATTATACTACCTTCTACTACTAGCCTCTATAAGCGTGTATTCTTTCTTCTCTATAAGCACTATTTCTATAGTATATAGAATAGAGATATTACCTTAGTTATAGTAATATACTTTTCTACCCTAGTAATAGGTAAGTTCTTATATAGCCTTAGTAGTATACTACTTAGGCTTTAAATAAAAAGATATTATTAAGCCCTAGTTACTATTAATAATAAAAGTAATAAGATATTTAAATATATCTAGGTTATTTATACTTACTTTAATTATTACGCTAATAGTAGGTTTTATATTAGTTAAAATAACCTCTCTATTATTAAGTTCCTTACTCTTAGTTTAGAAAGGAATTAGGTGCTTACTATAGCCTATCTTAAAAATAGTTAATAGTATAGCAGCGTATCTATTCTTAACTAAAATATATATTACTTCTACCTATATTACCTTAATAAAAATATTAGCTAGATCTATGTTAATATTTATTAAGACCTTTACTATACCTATACTTAACTAAAACTATAATTATAGTTATATAGTACTAGCCTAGTATAGAAGGTAGAAGAATACTTTTTATTACTATAAAGCCTACTTAATAAATACCTCTACTACTTTATATAAAAAAAGAGTAAGTAAGTATAGAAGCTACTAAGTAGTATACTACTATAAATATATTAATTATATTATAAACCTATTAAGTTCTATATATTCTTTATATCTAACTCTAAACCTAAAAATAATCCTATACTCTTTACCTATATATTACTTCTACCTAGTAGCCTTCTTCTAGGCTAGACTATTATAGAAGTTAAGCTTAACCTATTACTTTTATTACTATACTAGGATAAGAGGTATCTATCCTTTAATAGTAAGGCTCCTATTAATACTCCTCTTATTTAGTAGCTAGATAGATAACTCTCCTAGTACTAGTAGATATAGAAAGTACCTATACCTTAGAGACTTACTCTAGGAGATAAACTACTAGGCTAAGTAACTATAGTATTTAATACTATTAGCTTAAGAGAGGACCTTAAACTTAGTATAATATTCTATAGTAAAGTAGTAATACTCTACTTATAATACCTCTAGTGTTATTATATCTCTACTCTTAGTAAGCCTAGTATAAAACCTATAGTCTATATAGTTAGTTAGTAGTATCTCTAGCATCTTAAAGGTATACTAATAATCTATTAATATTAATATTAGGTAGTAGTCTTCTACCTATTTAATACCTATTATTAGGTTAAGTATAATTTATATATAAGAGTGTATTATATATTATACTAAGCCTCTATTAAATAACCTTAACTCCTAGGTAGATATAAGGGGATAAAACTACGTAGGCTATAATAGGTTATACTAGTCTATATATTATAGTTAAAGAAGCTAGTCCTATTTTATTAGAGTAGCTAATAGAATATATATACTAATAGTAAACCTAGAAAAGAATATATAGTAGAGGTTAATAGCTATTCTTATATAGTCTACTAGAAAATAGGCTAGTTAAATTATAAAAAAATTTATTATTATAGTTAGCTAGGTTAAGTAGCCTATATAGGTAGGTATAATATACCTTACCTATCTAACTTAATATATTTATAATAGTAGAAGTCTTCTACCTAATCTTTTCTCTCTACTACGTCTAGTATATATATAGGTACGTAGTATAGACTAAATATACTCTTAGTTAAAACTATATCTCCTTTAGCTATAAAGAAAAAGTTAAATAAAGAAGAAGAAAAGTATATTTCTAATAATACTCTTAGAAGCTTAGTAAAAGGTATAAATAAGAAAGAAGCTAGTATAGAGATAGTAGTTATCTTAGTTAAGAAAGATATAAGTAGAAATAAGCTCCTAAGTATAAAGTAAGTAAAAGAAAGAGATATAGAAAAAGAGATATAGAAAGAAAGATATAGAAAGAGATATAGAAAAAGATATAGAGAGAAATAATAGGTATAGAAGAAGAAAAGTATATAGTAGATAGAATTAAGGTAGTAGTCTATAAATACTTAGGTAATATAGTAAGTATAGGTATCCTTAAGGTAAGTCTATAAATACTGCTTAACTATATAAAGAGTAAGTATAAATAATTAAGAAGTACTATAAGTAGGTTCTTATTACTTATTTAGTATAGTAGGTAAGGCCTAGTATTACCTATAGCTAATAAGGTACCCTTTAGGTATATCTATAGTATAAGATAAGTATAGTTAGTATTAGTAAATAGTTTATAATTTACACTTTCTATACCTTTATAGAGTATATTATCTAGGAAGTATATAGAAAGTATAAGAAAAGGTATTAACTACGTTTAATACTACGTATATACCTAATTCTATAGACTAGAATATATTATAAGTTACTAGAAGAGTATAGTATATTCTACTATTAGTTTACTCTATTATAAAGCTCTAAGGTAGAGAAGTAATAAAAAGAAGCTAGACGCCTATATTATTATAAAAAGGCTAAATAACTATAGCTATATAATAGTTATAGCTATAGCCTAGATATAGTAAGAGTAGTAAAGATAAGTACGTATAGTAGACTATAAATATACCTAGTAGCCTATATTACCTTACCTATTATATAACTACTAGCTACCTATTCTTTATTAACCTAATACTATTAAGTAGTACTACCCTATTAACCCTCTAAGCTAGTACTACCTATTTCTTATATACGCTGCTTTTACTATATCTAAGATCTACCTTATAGGTATACTTATTATACCCCTTTAGGTTGTAGACACCTCCGAAATTTAGTAGGATATAGCAAAAATTAAAACATAAACAGGGGTCTAATAGCAATAATATTATAGTTAGAACTTAGATTTATAATACTATACTACTACTATTACGTATATCCTACTCTGTACTCTCTTTTGTAAAAGTTTTAATACAATATCTCTTAATTTTAAAGAGTTATTTAATATTTTATATCTAGAGACAGTTAGATAGAGCTAATCTTAATTAGGAAGTTTTAAGCTAATACTAAATTAGAATAGAAAGTTTTAAGCTAACGCTAAATTAGAATAGGTAGTTTTAAGCTAACACTAAATATAAGTATAAAGCCTTAAAGAAAGAGAGGTAGAAAGTAATACTAGTTATATATTTAGCGTTAGCTAGCAGTAAAAATTAGGTAGCTATATAGAGGCTAACAATATACTTCTTTC